AGCAAAATATGTCTCAGCCAAACATCTTGGTCAAATCTAATGGAGAAAGAGACATTTGTACCTGCCTGACGGTGCTCCTTGCAGCCATAACTAAATACAACATTCCTGGATTCCTGTTCTAAATTATAGCAGTAGTCTTAGGTACTAAAAAGGCTTGCCACATCCTACCCTGAAGGTGTGGCAGCTCTTTTCCACTAGGGATGCTTTTGTTTGCTGGGAAATGAATCAATGGGATAGGTATGATGTTTAATTAATATTTTCTGGAGTTTTCCTGCAGCCAGGTTTGGCAAGTGGAAGAACCTCTCCGAGGAGCCCTGGACAAGAGCATGCTGCTCTGCTCGGAGCAGCAGTCTCACTCCTTCACCCTTGTTTCCTGCTTTATCCTCTGCTTCCACACATGCGGCAGCGGCAGCACACGTAAAGCTAATCACCCTTCCTTCCCCCTAGATCCTGGAACAAGCCACAGCCCACTAGCAAAACCACTAAAGAGCACACATAATTCTCTCCCTTGGGACATGAGCGAATGAAGTGCACATGGTGTAAGTCAGTCGTAAGGCTTAGTGCCTAACTGGAAGAACATATGCTAATGGTAAGGGTGAGCTTTAGCTAAGAACCTCTGCAGCAAGGCCTGCTGAGAACAGACAGGTTTTACTATCACTGTCAAAAAGCACGAAACAGAACATCCTCTGTGATGAGTAACAACCTCACCAAAAGAGATTTGGGTTTTCAAAGTATCAGCCTGCTTCACTCATAAGACACCTGCTCTGAAAGTCATTTGTGTAATGTACAAACTGCTCTTAAGGCAGAGGAGGATTTAGTGCTGTTATGAAATATATGATGTGCAGTCAGCTATCGGCATCTTATATAGGCCAGGGACAGTCTGGGAAACATGAATGCAAAACGTCGAATCAACAATTTTTCAGAGATGATTTAGAGGACCAGTTCCTATTAGAGCTAACCGATTGTAAAGCTCCAGAGCTCCAAAAAGCCTTAAAAAGCTCAGTCTAAAACTCTCCCAAAGTAAACAGCTTTAGTCCTGCTTGGACTGAGAAAGCCAGAAAGCTGAAGCTCCCTGCTGCCTCTGAATGGAGAACATTTTGCAGTGTGCCTGAATCCAGTACACGGGCAGCAGGAACACCAAATCTTAAAAACACAGAACTACATCCTGGGAAAGGCAACAGACAGCACGCCTTTTCCAAACTTCTCATCATGTTGAGCTGATGATCTTAGAAGAAAATCAGGAGTTCACAGACCTGTGTAAGATGCCTCACAGGACTTGGGGAGTGATGTGTGTAAGCAGCAGGACGTGTTTCTTCTCGTAGGGCTCGGAGACTGTCTCTGATACGCTGTAATTGCCTGCACGCTCACTGAGAGGGACAAGGAGCATGGAGATGAGAAGTAAAAAGCTGCTCACAGCATTGTGCTTCTTTTCACACTACATTCTCCTTTATGGCCCTGGTTTTATGCACAACTACTGCGTTTCTTGCTAACATAATTCTGCTGCAAGTACTGCCGTGGAGAATCTGACTTGTGCTACGGCGCGTGTTGTTGGTGGCTCTGTTACCACACCTACCAGGTCATTTGTCTTGGGGTGGGAACACGGCTTTTCTTGGTGTGCGGTGCCCAGTATGGAAAAATTAGAAGTGATGGGAATAAACTTTTTGATGAATTATTTTCTCTCCAAATGAAAGCAGAGGAAATTTTAGACGATCACAAAGTATTACAAAAGTCTTTCAAATGTTATGTGAAGGCCTTCCATTAGTTTTAGAACTAGGTTTAAAGATAAAAGCATACCCAAAGCAGCAGTTTTCCATCTCTTAATAATAGCTTCACTTGCTCTTTTTCAGATGCAAATGTTTATGCTTATTTCAAAAACGTACTCCAAAATACTTTCTGTCTGCTAATTAAATTGTACCTAATAGAGTTTGGCAAAAACCAAATATCCCAATCTTCCCTGTCCCACTCCCACTAAAAAAAAAAAATCTTTTTTTTTAATTTTTTTTTTCCTGACTGAGGAAAAAAAAAGAAATGATTCTCTATCCTAACTCAAAACTGCTAGATATTTTCCAACTCCAATCTGGATTTCCCACTTCTTGTTAGTTTACCATAAAACTGATTTTAGCAGCAGCACGAAACTGCAGTAAGGCAGAGGTCCAGTGACTGTTTTTGCAGCAGCAAACTGAGGAAGCCTGTGCCTGTATCTCACTCGTCCCAAAGAGCAGAGTACGTCCAAACTTTTCTCCTCACTGCTGCTCTGTTACAGCCAGCCCCAGGGGCACAATGCTCCAGGAGCTTAAGGGACAGGCACAGCATAGGGAAGGGCACGAAAAGGAGGAAGAAGAGTAGGAAAATAATAACTTTTTAATTTTTGGATGGAAGTTCTATCTGGATTTCTTTCATCTATCAGCATTTGAAACATAAATGAGAGGCAAAATAAATAAATAAGTAAATTGTCCAAACCTATCCTCTAAAATCCTTCCATCATTTGTAGGACCAAGGATGGGAGAAAGAGAAGCTCTTCCCCCCTTTATGAATCTGACTACGTGCACACAAGTCTCTTTATCTTAGAGTACCTGAATCTCCATCATTACTTTAGGATTAGAAAGGATTCTTTCTGAACCAACTTTAAGAGGAGAGGTTCAAGGGTATGCTAGGTTTCTGCTTCTTTGTTTGGTTTTCTTTTCTTTTTTAGCTGGGACTAACACTTCATATTTTCTTTCAGACACATAAGACCAAGTTCTCACTGCTTTATTCATGCAAACTGACTGCACAAATCCTAAAATATCATTCCCTCCATTTGGTACTAGTCAGGAACAAACACTAACACTTTAACTCTACCAGTAGTATGTTTTTACACAAATTTGCCTTGTCAAAATCCATTTCCAAGCAGTTGCTGCACAGAGTGTTTTTTTCTGGGTTTGCCAGGATGTGTGCAACAAACTTGGTCAATGAAATTTCATCAGTTGAAACACTGACTTAATCGCTTCTCACAATCCTTTAGTTCAACAGAAATAGCAAGACTGAGTAAAAAAAAAAAAAAGAAAAATAAAAAAAAAAAACCAGAAGAAAGGAACACAGCAAATCATGCATTTACTGAACACTTGGCACTTCCTGGCACATCTGGCAGGACAGGGTGACAAGCTAGCCTGCTGTACGTATGAAGCAGACTTTCACTGTATTACACACACACGTTTGTATCAAACATATATCAAATTTATATTAAATCAACAATAGTTTTTTTGTTTGTTTGTTTTTTAGTATAAGCAATAACAACCTGAAAGATGCCCATTCATTTGTACCAACAGTTTCACTTTCCACATTGATTCTTTACCTGGGAATGCAATGCAATAGTGTTTTGCATTTCACGTCAGTGCATTTCACTTGCATTGCACTTCACCTCACGGCAACAGCCAAGAAATCACTCAGCCCCAAAAGCTGCGGACCCCAGTGCAAACCTCCCATTCCAGGTCTCTATTGCAATGCCCTAACGGAAGCATCTGCCTGAGTCCCATCTGCTGGAGCAGGTCACAGTATTTTCTGGCTAGCAAAGGAATCCACGAACGTTATAAACCAAAAAAAAAAAAAAAAAAAAGAAAACAGATCAACTGCCATCTGTTTCACTGATTGCTCTAATCGATATACTTTCCTCCCCTAATGTCTTGTACAGACACACTCTCTCAAATACATAACTGCAGGATCAATTCATCTGGGAAGAATATAAAAATCTCAATTTGACAAATGTCAAAACACGACAAAAACATGAACTGCTAAAGCTATCACGATGCTTAAAGGCACAGAATTTTGTTAATCTATCTGTTAAAAAAAAAATAACTGGACAGAAAAAAAATTCTTGAAGTCACCAATCAACAGATTTTGATGAGACAGTGTGACAACACTCGAGGATAATTATCTGATCTTCCTCCCGCGTCACCTTAACTTTACAATAGTGCTCTAAAAAGGGCTCCTCTGGGAAATGGCATCACCCAGAGTTCCCACTTGCCCAGATGTTTCCCTCATTATGTTACAAGCCTGTCAAGGAAAGGCAAATTCAGGGTTATTCTAATGATAGCAAACACCTCATAAAAAAACCTCTCCAAATTTACTTTTCCAAGGAACATCACTTTAAAAGGCATTTCAAGTGCCCATGAGGAAAGAAAGCATCATTTATAAAACGTTATTACCAGAAATCTTGAAGATATTAACAACAAAATAAAATGTCCTGGAGCGGCAGCCGCAAAGAGCGACAGCGCCTTGGGCCCTTCCTGAGGCACACGGGGGAGGACTCCTGGGCAGGACCCCCACCACAGCCAGCGGGGATCTCCGTGCAACGAGGGTCTGATCCCTGCTTGGGACCAGGCTGGGGAACCCCCAGACCTAAAATCCTGGCCGCAGTGAGGGGTTGCACTCTGTGGCCCACCAGCCAGGGGTGCCGTTCAAAGGGTGCTCGCTACCCTCTGATTCCACGCCTTTTATAAAAACGCTCTGCTGGTGCTTTAATTCTTCTAGAAGTGATAAAGGGGGTTATGCACATTTGGGCTGCTTATGATGATAAATCTTCTGTCAGTGCCTTGCATGATTTGGTGCTTGTTTCTTTCCTAACACCTGGACACAGAGAAACTGAAAGCACTTGACCTCAGCACATGCAACTGCCCAGCTATTTACAGGCTTTGCCTTGGGATTTGGATGGTTCTGCACCTCTCAGCCCTTTATGGCCGTTTCTGGCCCTTTCAAAAGGCTAACAAAATGTGATCCTGAGTAATTAAAAAAAAAAAATAAATAAATGAACCACTCTCGAAAGAGGTTTTCCGTTGGGAAACCGAACCCAAAGCGGTCCTTTACCTCTGCCTGGCAATTCCCCGTCGGTGTCAGGGGGAGGGAAGCCCGGTGCCCTCAGCACCCACTCACTTTTGGGGCTGGGCGCCCCCCGGGGGCTCCCCTCAGCCCCTAGGGGGAGACACCGCGCCGGGGGGGCGGTCCGGGGAGGGGATTCAGGCACTCACCTGCCGCTGGCTGTGGTTGCCGGGACCCTGGGGCTCGCCGCCGCCGCGCAGCACGGTGATGTGCAAGGTGAGCAGGAGCAGCCCCAGCAGCAGCAGCAGCTCGGCCGCCAGCCGCACCATCCTCTTCAGCCGGGCGGCTTTAGGGCCCCGCAGCGGCGGCGGCCGAGGAGGAGGAGGCGGAGGAGGAGGAGGAGCCGCCGCCGCCGCCGCCGTCGCCACCACCGTCCCCGGCGCCGGGGCCACCGCCGGAGCCCCGGGAGCCGCAGGACGGGCGGCGGGGGCCGCGCCGCCGTCGGGGCAGCGGCGGCAGCAGCAGCAGCAGCAGCAGCGGGGGGGGCCGCAGCCCCACGGCGGAGCCACGTCGGGGCGGGACGCGGCGACAGAGGCGACGGCGGCGGCGACGGTCCCGGCGCTGGCCGGCGGCGGGGGCCGGCAGGTAGCCCCCGAGGGGCCGCGGGCCGGCGGCGTCTCTGCGGGCGGCCCTGCAAGCCAGAGGCACCGTGGGCCGTCGGAGGGAAGGAGGAGGGAGGGCAGGAGGAGGGGGCGCCGGGGCCGGCTCTCACATCGCGGAGAGGAGGGAGCCGGCGGCTGTCGCTTGCCCCCTCGTCGGGGGATGGGGGTGGCCCCCGGAGCCGCTTCCCCCCGCTGCGGTGGCCTCGCCCCCCCCCGCCGCTGCCCCTTCCCCGCGGGACCCCCGGCGAGGCGCCTGCCCCCGCCCGCCCCGGCCGGCCCCGTCCCGACCCGTCCCGGGCCGGCTGCGAGCTGCCCCCGAGGGCTGCGGGATGAGGGGCAGCCCCGCCGCCTCCCCGCCGCCCCCCTTCTTCTTCTTCTTCCTCCTCCTCCTCCTCCTCCTCCTCCTCCTCTCTTCTCTCGGAGCGCTGCCCCCGGCTCGGCGGCGGGGTCTGGGGGCGGCGGGCGAGGGGCTGCGAGAGCTTCAGCTGCCTGCCCTCCCTGGGAGCTGGATACCTGGCTCCATCTCTCCTCTCTTTCCTCCAGCCGCCCTAGTGCTGGCAGGGGCAGCTCCGCACTCTCTCCTGCCACCGTGCGTGCGTGTGTGCGAAAGGCTGGCTCTGCTCCTGCTCCTGCTCCTGCTCCTGCTCCCGCTGCTGCTGCTTCCAGAGCAACTTTCTCGCCCCCTCGCTCTGTGTCGGGAGAGGTGTGCGTCGGATGCTTTTATACTGCCCTGCCTCCCTCCCCTGCTGTCCTCCCCCCTTCTTGCTCCCCCCCTTTCCCTTCTCCCTCTCCGCAGCTCCCGCAGCAGGCTGCCGTCGCCCCCCCGCCCCGCTCCCCCCTCCGCCGTGCCCCTCTGCCAGCCCCGCTCTGCCCGGGCCCTGCACCTTGCGGGAGGGCTCCCAGCTCTGCCCCGTGGGCACGGAGCTGTGCCCGAACGTCCCGTCCCCTTCTTCTGGTCCTGCGTCCCCAGCAGGGCTCGGGCTCCAGGCATTTCACGCTCCTCGCTTTCCTCCTCGCTGACTGCGTAAGCGTGGTGGGGAAAAAAAAAAGCAACCAGAACAGTCGCTGTCAGGTGGGAAGCCCCCAGGTTTCAGAGTAACTTGTATTTGGAAATATAAGAAAGTGAGGGTTAGGTTATCACCTGCTGCGAGTCAGGATCCCGGCACCAGAGCTGATGGAGCCGAGCCCCTTTTGAATGCTGACGGTCCAGCTCGCTGTAACAGGAACAAACACAGCTCAAATAAACTTGAAACGTAAATAAAGTCACCTAACAACAACAAAAAAAGGGAGTTTTGGCATCTCTGAGGTTTCTTTTCCACAATTCAGGTCGTTCCATGTGAAAATGAGGACACAAGTGATCATGGCCCGGGCAGGTGTGTGGCGGAGGGGTGTGTGTGAGCTGGCACCACCTGAAACTGCTATCGAAATGGCCAAATGGGGAAGAAGTGTTCCCACCCCAAAACATTTTCAGCCTAAGAGTAATGCCCTCAGTGGTGTTCCCGCAACACAAGGGTAGGATGTGCAGAGAGCAGTACCAGCAGGGACTAAGGCACGAAGGGGGAGCCTCGGCATGCGGCACGCGAGGAATCTGGCAGGTTTGGGGCGCGAGTGGTCAGAGCTTGTGGGAGGTTTCTTACGGGTCTTGGTGCCGCTGAAGGCTGCGGTCATGATTGAGTCAGAACGATGCCTCGTACCCTTCCAGGCAGATAGGTTTCCCTTCCAATGATAACCACTGCAAAGTATTAGGCATCAGACAGGAATATGGTTAAAATAATTGCACTGAATTATCGTTAAAGATGTGACCTAAAGCCACAAAACCCAACCCTTCAGATTTAAGGATTTTTAATCCAAAAACTTGGTCTGTATTAGTACTATAGCAGGAATGATGTACACAAACAACTGTATAGGGTAGAGACTCGCATGTGCATTGCAGCAAGGAATAGCCCTCTGCAATCTCTCGTTGAGAAACACCCGATATTGTACCAGTGTTCGCGGATACGCCGGGAAATCATACAGAGCTATTCCATATTACATAAAGCCATAACAGCCTGTGGGACTGTCACGTGGGTTTAGAAAAATGTTTTTTTTCTTTCTTTTTTTTTTTTTTTTTAACCCAAACATTCCTTGGGCTAATCAAAACACTGAGAAGATAAAAACACTGATGTGCTTCAGATGTCATCGCTTGGCCTGGGCTCTCCTCCTGCTGCCATCGCTGTGATCCTGGCAGCTGGCAACTGCATCCCCGGGCAGGCAATGCCAGCAGCAGCGAGCACGAAGCAGGGGGTGGCTAAGAAAGCAGGCTAGCAAAATCGGGCAGAAAAAAAGGCAGAAGAACGGCCCGCCAGGTGTACCAAGGTCTGTCCCTAACCTGGTGGCTGTCAGTGGATCCCAGCTGTCGAAGCAAAGTGGAAACTTGGCATGGGAGTTTTGTATCTCGGGGCTCACCAGTGCAAATCAATGGCCAGAGACGGGAGGCTGTAATGTGAAACAGTCCAAGTGACAGCCTGGTGAAACACACATGGGTCTGCTGCTGAGCTCTGGGTAATGTAAGTTCTCCCTCGCCTTATGAAAGACTGAAGCAAAAGACATCTTTAATCCAGATGAGATGGGCCCGAACTGGTGCGCATTTCCTCATGGGACGTTAAGTTTTATGCTTTAAGCTTTTGTGGAAAGACAGTTAGGGACAGAGCAGTGCTACTATTAGCAGCAAGCGGATGGCAGCGAGAAGCCAAAACCTCTTCCCATTGAAAAGCTGGCACAAAAGTGGCGCTGGCTTATGGCAAAACTGCCTGCGTGGCTGCACTGGGGGGAACGGGTGGCGGGAGTGGGGAGCATCTGCGTGGGCTCTGTAGATGCTGATTTCAATTCACAAACACTGTTAAATCAGCAGATGACTTCATCGATGAATCCAGAAGACAGAATCACAACCTGTAGAGGAGATGTACTCAAAAGCAAAGGGAAAAACTTCTCCAGGCTGAGCGAGTAACTTGCTTGGCAGCCACCATCTGATCCCTGGAAAATGAAGGCAGGCTTTGCCCTGGGGAGGAGACCCATCGGCAGGCTGCAGGGGATGCTGCTCCCAGGATGTGGTTATGGGCACCCATCAGGGAGGTACATCAGCAGGTGGGTGTTCCTTTGACAGCCTCGCCCCTCCACCTCCAGCTTCTCCCTTCCATTTCTCTTCCCGCTGGCAACAAAGGTAGAGGTGGACAGTGTTCAGCGGGGTGCAGCACTCCCAGCCTCTTGTGTGTGCAAAAGGAAACACGCTGAGCCCACGCTCACTAAAAGAGGGTTACATTCACATTTTATGCAACATTTCCTATAGGACAAGTGCACTACATGGACAGTGGGGTTATCAGCAAGCTGCAGTAGCTCAGGGTCTGATCTACCTCTCCCAAGCCCCACAGATCTTACACTCCTCATTGTGCAGCTTCCAAAGGGGGATATGGCTGTGCCTGGCAGCCTCAAACACATGTTGAAGACTCTCTCCTGGGGAGGGTGTTTCCGGGGTCAATCAGGACTCTGGTCATGGTCCTGTCAACAAAAAACTGCACAACAGTTGTCCATGGTGACTGTGACACCTTCAGTGCTCAAGGGCAAGAAGCTGGGGCTGGATTTGCCACATCCTAGCTGGCATGTCCTGCTTGCCGGTGTTCCTGGCACCTGCACTTTGCAGGGCAAACCCCACCACATCACCACAAAGGCACTCAACCATTTGGCGTCATGAGTGCCACTCCTGAGAAACGAAGCATTGCCTAGCTGACAAACGACACTGCAGTCTGGGAGGTCCTGTTGACTGAAATAATTAGTACGTTAGCTGTACCTGCTCAAGTGTGAAAAATCCTTGTTTTGGATGAGTGCCACGAGGTGACGTCCTTCAAGGCTAGTGTGAGAGGGGCCGGGGAGAGAGAAAGAGATGGAAAAATACAGTGTGATATAACACAATGTATGGTGCTGTCCATGCTTTATCTCAGAAGGATGGAAGAGGCAGCGGTGGGAGCAACAGCAGATTAACTGGTGTGAGGTGCCTTTTTTGTCAGAGCACCACGGCTCAGTGGGGCCCTGCACCCCACTCATCTCGGTGGTTAAAGGATGCTGGCGCTTACCTGTTTGTCCACTTTGCCCCTTTATTACCAACCCTGGTATTGCTTCAGGACTGTGGAGGTGTCCTGTCTGTAAGACTGACAGCCTTTCAGACCAGACATGGCTGGTAGAGCCTTCCTCAGCTCACTCCTCCCCGCGCCCACTCCCAGGATGCTGTTGTTTTATCTTTAAGCCCGGGGGTTGCTTTAAAATTATCTGGGATGAAAACCTGGCTCCACTGAAGTCGTTGGCAAAGCTCCCATTGACTTCAGAGGAGCCAGGATTTCACCCTAAGATGCTTTGTAGATTATTGGTGAATGGAAAGCATACGTCTGGCTTCTTGAGGGTTATTATTGTTGGTGGTGACCTCTGCTCTGACGAGCATTGAGCAAGGCCGGTTGAGACAGATGGCTAAAGCTTTGCCTGCCTCTTCCCCTGCTTCCTTACAGGGACTTTGCTTTACAGCTCATCATCTTGGATGCTGCTTATCAAGGAATACCTTCCCGTCGCCTGCCAGTGGAATTTAATGCCTGTTTGCCCACATTCCCCTTCCCCCAACACCAGCAGATCAGCAGATAGGAGACAGAATGGCTGATTAGCTTCTAGCTCCAACCTCTTAGCTGTAAGCTGCAAATGCACACATAAGGGTCTTCTTTAAAAAAAAAAAAAGAATAACCTTCCCCTGCAGGCAACCTAGGTCTTTCTGTGACTCATGGTCCCTTTATCTCGATAAATTACTACTTGAATAGTAACCACTGTCTTTTAAAAATAACTGATTAGCTCAGAGGTCTCCATTTTCCTGCCTCTGCTAGACCAGCGCTTTCCTTCCCGTCTACATATTTTGCCACCAGCTGGGTCTAATGGCTGGGTCAAGATTTCTGAATTTTGCAGTGCCTCATGTGACAGGCTGGAAATTCAGCGGCCACTTTATTAAAACTTGAAGCAAAAGCAGAAACGTATAATGAGAAGTCTCAATCATGGAATATGGAAATGGAGAAAACAGTCTGGCCCAGTTTCCCACCTGTTATTTATTTTTTTAATACCAAATTCTGTTTATTTTCCACTCGCCCACATTTTCACTTTTCAACATGCTGCGCATTTGTGTACTGATGATGTGCAACTGCACTGCAGCATTTGCCAAGACGCGGCAGTACGAGGCTGTGGGAATCGGCGTACTGGGCAACATTTTTCAGAAGTGCCCAGAGAGCCTCAGTTCTGCTGACATTCATAAGCGCTTGCCACAAGGCATTTTTGCCTCTTTAGAGAAACACAGCGAAACCAGCAAACTTCTTTCCCGCCAGCACAGTTTTATTGCTGCAGAAGGACATGGGTTTTTAGCTGAGGCGGGCGCTGCGGGGCTCAGCCACCTGATTGAGTTACCCTGGTTGAGACGCAGCCCCTCAGCCGAGGCGAACGCCTTCCCGGTGGTTTTGCTGGCTGCAGTGCCAGGCATTTGGTAGAGCCGGCCCCACGGCCTGGAGCGGGGAGGCAGGCTCACATTTTGGCAGCAGCGAGCCATTGAATTGGCTCACCCATTAAGTTGGCTCATCCGTTAAGTTGGCTCGGCCAAATTCATCGGGAAGCTTAAATTATTACATTTAATAATGAATAAGGTGACAGCTCACC